GTGCCACCACACCTGGCTAATTTTGTGTTTTTAGTAGAGATGGGGTTTCTCCAATGTTGGTCAGGCTGGTCTCAATCTCTTGACCTCAGATGATCTGCCGGCCTAGGCCTCCCAAAGTGCTGGGATTTGAGCCACCGTGCCCGGCCTGTTTGGCCTTTTGAGGAACTGCCAAAATGTTTTTCACAGAGACTTCAGCATTTTGTATTCCTACCAACAATGCATGAAGATTCAGTTTTTTTCCACTCAAGTCTTTTTCAGTTTTCTTCAACTCTTGTTATTTTCTGTTGTTGTTGTTACTGTTTTTGAGACAGGGTCTTGTTCTGTCACTCAGCATTGAAGTGCAGTGGCTTGAACATGGCTCACTGGAGTGTCAGCCTCCTGGGATCAGGCATTTGTCCCACCTACACTCCTGTGTAGCTGGGACCACAGGCACACACCACCACCACTGCCACCTCATTTTATTGATTTTTATAGAGAGGTAGCTTCACTATGTTGTCCAGTCTGATTTTGAACTTCTGGACTCAAGCAGTTCTCCTGCCTCAGCCTCCCCAGAGTATTACGATTACAAGTGTGAGTCATGATACCTGGTCAGTTTTCTGGTTTTTGATGATAGCCATGCTAATGATGTGAAGTGGTATCTTGTTTTGATTTGCATTTTCCCAGTGATTAGTGATACAAGCATCTTTTCATCTGCTTGTTGGCCATTTGTGTGTATTCTTTGGAGAAATGTCTGTTCAGGTCCTTTGTCCTTTTTGTGTGACTTTCTGTTGTTGAAATATCAGTATTCTTTATCTACTTCTAGATCCTAGACCCGGTATCTAATTTTAGATTCCAGACCGTTCTTAGATATATGATTTGTGAATACTTTATCCCATTCTGTGTGTTGTCTTTTCACTCTGTTGATAGTCATGTCCTTTTATGCACAGAGATTTTAATTGTGATGAAGTCCAATTTATCTTTTTTTAGTTTTTGTTTTCTGTGCTTTTGGTATATCCAAGAAATGATTGTCAAATTTAGTGCAGTGAAGATTTCCCCGTGTTTTCTTCTAAATGTTTCTATAATTGTTGCTCTTTTTTTCTTTTTATTTGAGACGGATCCTTGCTCTGTTGCCCAAGTTGGAATGCAGTGGCGTGATCTCGGCTCACTGCAACTTCTGCCTCCTGGGTTCAAGCGATTCTCCTGCCTCAGCCTCCTGAGTAGCTGGGACTACAGGTGTGTGCCACCACACCCAGCTAATTTTTGTATTTTTAGTACAGATGGGGTTTCTTCGTGTTGGTCAGGCTGGTCTCAAACTCCCAATCTCAGGTGATCCGCCCGCCTCGGCCTGCCTGGGATTACAGGCACGAGCCACCGCACCCAGCAACACTATTTTGATTACTGTAGGTTTGTAGTGAGTTTTGAAATCAGGAAGTGTGATGTCTTCAAATTTATTCTTCCTTTTCAAGATTGTTTTGACTATTTGAGGTCCCTTGAGATTCTTCATGAGTTTTAGAATGTATGTTTTTTTTATTTCTGCAAAAAGCATTCTTGGGATTTTGATAGGGATTTGATTGAATGTGTAGATTGCTTTGGAGTGTAACATCTTAGCAACATTAAGGTGTTACAATCCAAAAACATGAAATGTCTCTCCATTTATTTATGTTGTCTTCAGTTTATTTCAGTAAAGTTTTGTGATTTTTCTGTGTATAAGTCCTGCATTTTCTTCATTGCTGACTTATATATACTTGTTTTTTCTTTTTTTTTTGAGATGAGTTTCGCTCTTGTTGCCCAGGCTGGAGTGCAATGGCATGATCTTGGCTCTCCGCAACCTCCGCCTCCTGGGTTCAAGCGATTCTCCTGCCTCAGCCTCCCGAGTAGCTGGGATTACAGGCATGCGCCACCACGCCCGGGTAATTTTGTATTTTTAGTAGAGATGGGATTTCTCCATGGAGGTCAGGCTGGTCTTGAACTCCCGACCTCAGGTTCCTGGTGCTTCCTATTGCACCATCTTCCCAGAATCCTCTCCCTTCCTGTTGTGCTTTTATAGCCACACCCGCTTTCCTCCTGCCACCAGGCTTAGTCATAACCACTAATGTATTCCTCATTTT